TGTTAAATATACAAGTTTATCTATGCTTTAATAACACTATTGAAAGCTATTACAAACTAGTATTTTCTTCTCATTTTTTTTTATTTTCTCAGGAGAAATGTAAAGCTTTCTCTAAGTTCAAAAAGCCTAAAGCTATTACAATTATGAGAGCAGATATTGGCAAGAATTACAACAGGGTCATTTAGGGAAAATATTATGAAAATATCTGTGAGCTCCTAATGTGAGACCTAATTATACTGGATATTTTCTTCATATTCTGCATTTTGATGTTCTAGCTATCTCATCTTGCTCACATATTTTCTTGGTCCTATTCCAATATACTTATTTTTATTAATTTTTTTAGTTCACACATATTAAAGCAAGGGGAAAACTTTTCTATGCTTGTATCATCTTGAATTGATGAATTCTCATTGTTTTGCAGTTTTATAATCCCAATATCTACATTAACAATGGCTGTACGTTTGAAGTCTACCTTTACTGCCTCCCCCTCCTCCCATAGTTCAGTGAAGATACTGTCTTCGTTCTTGTAGGATAGGTTGTTTACCCATGGTTTTAGATCTTGCCTTAAATAATTTATAAGGAAATCATTTCAGTCTCTAGCCTGAAACAGACCTCTTTGTGTGCATTTACATAACACCTTTTGATTAATATTTATACTATGCTTACAATTCCAATTAGTCTTTGAGTTTTGTGCTTACTTGATTTATGCCTTTTTCATAATATTTGGCTTTGTGACACCATGAGCTGAACAAGCCCATCCTGCTAATGCAAATATAGAGAGTTTTATTGGAGTCTAATCTTGTTCATTAATCATTTATTTTCCTTTTTTACTTTGTTACTACACGTGAATATGGTGTTATTCATGTGTACATGGTATTTGTAGATGTGATCCTATGTATACACATGTTCATATGAATGCGTGTGGATGTCATTGGTTGACATCAGGTGTCTTTTTCCATCCCTTTCCACCTTATCTTGACACATATTTCTCACTGAACATGGAGCTCATCAATGCAGATGGACTGGGTGGCTATTAAACTCTAGGAATTCGCCTGTCTCTATATCCCTAGAGGGGGTGACAAACAATTGTACTCACATAATTACATGGGTGTTGGGGATCTGAACTCAAGTCAACATGCTTGTGTGGAAAGCATTTTAGTGACTTGGCAATTTTCCCAACCTCACAATCTTGTATTTTCTCTAACCTATTTCTGCTATGATGGTTGGAGAGTTGAGTGTCTATGACAGATAATAAAAGATTCATGGAATTACAAAAGTAGGACAAAAAAATTCATTTCTTTTTTGTGACATGCCAGATACCAAGGACATTGATATTAAAATGTCTTTATGTCTCTCAGATATTTCTCCCAGACCTTTATCTTTCAACTTTACTTACAAGCCCCTACTCTATTGAAGGGATTCTGCCAATGACTCTGCAGTATAACAGAGTATGTCTGGGTCCTTCATATCCTACATCTGAAATACCTACAAGTCACACCTTTTTCTTGCTATTATGAGCCTATTTTATGGAAATCTCTGTTGACTTCACCAAATGTGCTTTCCTAGAAAAAAATTGGGGGATGGCCACAGAACCAGGCTGTATAGTCACATGTATGTAAACAGGTACGTTGTGCATTATCAGGTACTAGCAGGAATATAGAAATTATAGATAACTCTTTAACAAATAGGCTGAGGCCAAGATGTTTAATAAGATAATGGAAAGACTGAGAAACTAAACAAGAAATTGACATGGCAAGGGACTGGTTCTCTCTCTCTTTCTTTCTCTCTCTCTCTCTCTCTCTCTCTCTCTCAATATATATTCTTTTGGAATGGAAGAGAGCAAACAATGTCACTGATCATTAGAAGAGCTAGATCCATTAGTAAAGATGTAGCTGTTTTCAAAGGAACTGAATCAGAAGAAAGAGAAGTTTTATTAGTCATTTTCTACTGATATTGCAAACTCCCTTGGGCTGATTGCCTCAAAACAGCAATGTCGATGCTCGAAGTTTTGGAAGTTGTAAGTCCAAGAACAGGTGGATCTTCTTGGTACCCTTGGCTATGCCACAGTAAGGTGGAGGATGTCATAATGAGAATATATCCAAGATAGTAAAGCAACATTTGAGACAGGAGGCCTAAGAGTAGGAAGATCCAGTTTTATTCTGCCAGTAACTACTTGTTCGTACAAGAACTCACTTTACGGTTAAGAGCACCAGTCCTTGGAAAGGACAATGCCATACAACAGCCTAACCATGTTCTGTTATTCCCTACATGTTAAAGAGCTACAGAAATGAGTATCTTGGGGAACAAACTTTTAGCATGTGACTCTATTAGAAACATTTAAACTATAGGAATGAAGTGTACACCCTGGTTTCTTTCTTCCTACTTTCCCATTGTACAACCTATCTGGAAACAGTTAATGAAAAAATTTCCCATTCCAGTCCATATTACGACATGACCACTAACAGTAGAAGTAACTGTCAAACTTCTCTTCCAATTTGCAGTACCATTAACCTTCAAATTGTTATTTCAGTTTAAAATATGTAATGGCAAATGCTTTTACAATATACTCTAAGATTTCAAAAGTGGTTTTTAAAAAATTTCTAAGAATATGGGCTGTAATGCTCTAAGTTTCCTGAAACTACTTTTATTTGAGAATAGTCAACTTTGTCAGTAAATATTCTCGTCACTCCATCAGTTTTTCCATTTTTCTGTGTATTTTTCCACGTCTTAAGCTTGAAATTCCAAAAAAATCAAACTTCATAAATCTTCCTAATTCTGAACATAGAAGTCTTTTGCCATCTACTCAATTTCCCCAAATTCAGTTGCTATCTTATCTTAGACTCATACCATGAAATTTTGAACTAAATTGATACTATTTACCTTTACGACTGAATACATTGAGGATGGAGTATACAGAAATAAAGTGATAAATATCAAATCCATTGATGAAGCTTTACTGATAGCCTTGCAATTGAAATAGGCACCCTACTTTCTCAAACTGAATTAAAATGACCAGAGGATGGGCAACTAAAGGGCAGTGTTCTGACTGTCATGTGTCCTTTCTCCATCTTCACTGACAAAATAAAAATTCATTTGGGATTGTGAAATTAAAGGAGCAACCTGAAGTCACAGTCAACATTCCCATAATTGTGGACCCAATTGAAAAGGCCAGTGACTGAAAGACAAGTCATGAGACACAGAAAAAGATTTGTTTAAAAATCCAGACAACAAAATGAGAAGGAGTTTGTTACCCACAAAGGCTACCTTTCTCAGGATTTGTAAGGATAGTCTTAAAATGGGAGTTGAGGAAGCCACATCAGATAGGAGGGAAGCAGGTTAGTTAAAAGTTTAAAAGTAGTTACAGTTATGTGTGTTATGCATTCCTGATACTTATGCTGGAACTTGTGGGTCCCCGAATCTTCTAGGTCCCACTAATATAAAGAAACATTATGGTTAAAGTGTGTTATGATTTGTAATTTTAGCTACATTTCCCAGAAATAGCTAATTCTGCAGTTGGTTTTTAAAATACAAAAAAATGTTTTTTTCCATGGAGAGGAAAAGATAATAAAAATACCAAAGAACATTTTTTCTTCTCTAAAAGAGCTTAGAGAATTAGAGAAAAGTGGCCTCCCCTGGAAGACATTGGGAAATAACACTTTCGCAGAAAACAGTTTTTAATCCACTAGTAGCATCAGTCAGAGGTGTCTCCAGCAAATGCAAAGGGAGGCTAGGGGCATGCTGGGGTACTCCATGCTGGTTTGCTTCGGGCTTTCCTCAATCACATTTCCTTCTGAGGAATATGTTAACCGACCACATGAGAGAAGACAAATATTTTTTTCACTCAAATTGCCATTGCGAGAAAACAGTCTTGTAAAAGCTGACCCTGTTTCAGTATAGGCTTTCTGATCCTTAATGTGCTTATAATTGACCCACGCTTTGAAGAGTTGAAAGCTTTAAAGAATCAGGAATTCCTAATCAAGAGTTTTAAATAAAATTCAATGTTTGCAATTTTGCCTAAAAAGTTTTTTTCTTAAAAGTCAAGTTTAAGGAATATAAATGTGAGCTACTCTAAAAGTCAGCCCAGTAGGGATCATCAATAGAATACTAACTAGAACTATTGAAAAATAAATGAAATTATTTTTCAAAGAGATAATACAAATAATAAAAATGACAGCATGTGATTTTTTTTGAAATCTCTAAATCCACTTTCTTTAGATTTAGCCAAAATATGAAACAATATGTCCCATACCTGGCAGTAAACCATCTTTTACAGCATCAGTGACTGAAAAAGTCAAGAGCCAATGAAACCCCTCTGGCATCTAAATCATAGAGTGCTACGAACACACCCTCACACACCCCACACATACATAAATAAAGGAATAAAGGAAAAGAGGTTATGAATCTCTTTCCTTTTTCTGTTGGTTTGTTCATTTGGTTTGTTTGTTTGGTTGGTTGGTTGGTTGGTTTGGTTTGGATTTTGTTTTTCGAGACAGGGTTTCTCTGTGTAACAGCTCTGGCTGTCCTGGAACTTGCTAGTGTAGACCAGGCTGGCCCCGAGATACATCTGCCTCTGCCTCCCGACTACTGGGACTAAAGGCATGCACCACCATGCCCAGCTGAGGACATAAATCATGAAGATTCTTCTGTTAAAGTGGATATGTCTTCCCATGTTTCCTGATTTTACTTGTTTATTATTTCAGCAGTTCAACAAATCTGTATCAAGTGAGATCATCCATTTGTAGAGACAGCACACCGAAGCAAGCCTGAAGATACTGGAGGTTGGTTCTCGTGTCCTATGCTTAAACGTTTCTTTTTCCTTGTATTTAATTTAAAAAATATTTTTATTAGTTATTTGAACATTTTGTTCAGCATGCTTTGATTATGTTCACCTCCTCTCCTTCCTCTTCCCCCTCCTTTTTACAACTCTGTGACAAAGAGAAGATGGAATACAGCCTTGGAACTTCTGACGCATCCGCCAACCCCTCTGTACAGACGTTGACTTCGTACGTGGGAAGTAACGTTCCGGGCAGAGGTTAGAGTGGCAGCTATTTTAGCGACAGCTTTTGTTACCTGAGTCCACCAAACGCACAGGTGCCTCAAAACAAACCTGCTGTATCCAGATAACTGTATCGGATAAACCATGGACCAGGAACCGGAACAAGAACAAGAAAAACAAGAACAAGAACAAAAGCAAGAACAAGAACAAGGCACCACAGAGGAGGCTCCGGTGCAAAAGAAACGAGAGGAGGACAACCAGGAGGAATCTGAGCGTCCCAAGAAAATATCCCCGTATCTGACGACAGTTCCAACTGCCGTGACGAAGTTTGGAAATTTCAGAAAAACTAACACGCCCCTCCCTTCACACAACAAGGAGTTATTAGATGAAAAAAAAGAGGTTCTCTTGGAAGGGTCGTTTGGCTTGGGCACTCTAGTTTTCCCTGCTTTACAGCGCTTCAACAACATTGACGTCTTCCTCACTTTTTACTGTGTGGTGGTCCTAGCTCAAGGTAAGTTAGAGGATCAGGGTTGCTCTGGTGAGTAAAGTCGGGAGGTAGACAAGGCTGATAAACGGCAGGAAGGAGACAGTCCGTGATCATACACGAATGGAGTCGGTATCAGCTAAGCTGATGCTGTGTTGTTGCTTCAGGTCTTTGGTTGCTTGCCGGGCAGGGTGTACTGCATGCTGTCAATATCATTTTGGCGTTCAGATGCAGAGCTTATGAGAAGATGGTGGGTACTGAGTTCGTTCATGTTCTTTGATGCTCAGTTTAAGTTCTGGGTTGAATTTTGGGGGGGTTAAAATAGTTGAAAACAGCATTGCTATCATGAGGTGGCTTCAGGTCACAATTTTGAAATACTCTGTCAAAGCAGATTTCTTTCTGAATTTTGTTTCCTCATCTGTAAATTGAGGGATGGTGAGATTTTACTGGGTCCACATCCCAGGAAGAAACATAAAGGTGTTTTTACCCACATTTTGTCTTCTTCCTCTTACCTCTTCATCCTTCTTCTATTATTTTAGTTATGTGTTATCGCTAATAAATTTTGTTAATAAAAAATATCTCACTAAGCTCTGACAGTCCACTTTGGAACTTACTTTTCTTTGCAAGGGGTCTGGTTAACACAGAAACTACACTTGCCCACGGCCTTTGACGTAACTCTCATCATTATCTGATGCCCCTGAGGTGTTGGGATGGTAGATATCAAAAGGGTAGCCAGAATCTTCTATAGTTTTCTGGTTTGCTAGTGATTTTGTCAGCAGGACCAATTTACAGGGTGATTGAAGTTTTTGGAGATAAAAGTAGGGAACAGACATTCCATCAGCAGCATGACTGTTTCGGCAGCCCTGTGTTCCTTGGGTCTAGCCTTGACTACTGCTGGGGCAGCAGACCAGCAGGAGGTGAGCGGCTTCTCAGAGTTTTAGAAGTTTTAGGAAGAGTCTGGACTCCTGGATCCCTGAAAACCAAGGAGTGTTTGAGATAGTTGGACAGCAGCAGTTATAGATACTGCAGCAATGAACTATGATCCAACTTTGGGCAGATGTAGTCATGAGTTCTAATTTATAACTATTTCTGTTTAACTCCAAGAAATATAATACTTTTCCTAGCTATTCCTTGTATCAAGTTATTTTTGTTTCATTTAGTATGCATGTGTGTGTGTGTTACAAAACAGGGTTTATCAATACCTCTCGAACCTTTCCTGGAACTCCTTCTGTAGACCAGGCTGGCCTTGAACTCGCAGAGATCTGCCTGCCTCTGTCTCCCAACTGTTGGGATTAAAGGTGTGCCACCACTGCACAGTTTTTTTTTCTTCTTCACATGCTGGATGATGGTTGAATCCACATTGTGCTCTCATTTATTTAATGTTCAGGAATATGAAACAATTTACATGAATATATATGTTTTTTTCGAAAAGCTTGAAAAAGCTCAAAAATTTTAAACTTCAAGCACAAAATCCAAACTATTGAATGATTCTTTGAATCAAATATTCTTTGAATGTTTGTATACACATGCTCTCATTTATTTAATGGTCAAGAACATAAAATAGTAACATACATTGAATGTATACATTGTTTTTTTTAAAAGGATTCCTGAAAAGTTAAACTTTTATTTCTGTAAATTAAAGTTCTTTTTGAATGATTATAATTGTAATCTGTGTTGTCTATTGAAATGTGTTATATTGCCTTTTGTCTTTCTTTTGATTTTAGGTTTTGTATTTGGTCTTGTTGATCTGAGTACTGGGTATTTTGAGAAGGAATTTTATATGTCAAATCCAGAGAAAGCTGCATTGGCCTTCACTTATGATCTTACATCTTTATTGACAGCAATATTTGTAGCACACTACGGAAGTAGATATAACAGGTCAAAATGGGTGGCAGCTGCTGCCTTTTTAGTAGGACTTGGATCTGCTTTATGTGCTGTTCCATTCATGAAATATGAAATTATAACACAAATAGAAGAAGGTGAAGGTAAGATTTCTCAAATATGCTCTTCATATTCCTAATCAATGTTTATTTAAATCATTGCTTCAAGGGATTTAGCATAGGTCATGACATATGTCTGTGTATCCTTCCTTGTTTATGCAACCATTCTTACTAATTACACCAGTCTTATTAATTAGCTTTCAGATTTATCTCACAGAAGAGATGACCCTAGAAAAGAATATTGTGGGATAATTTGTAAAATTATTTATTTCTTACAATTTTATGTGTGTTAAAAGTCTCTTGAGAAGTCTAGTGGTTCATTTTATCTTCTTTGTAGCCCAGACCCACATAAATTCAAGTATAGGAATAAACTTACATATACAGAAGTGGCAACTTTTCTAGCTATTCTTTCCATTGCAAAAGTTAGATGCTATTCTTTGACTACTATTTAAATCTGTAATGATAGTGGCTTTGTCATGTTGTTTAATATTGCTCATACAACAATCACTTTGCTATTCTAGTAAGACCTACTTGAAATGCCTTTGGAATATAATATATTTCTAACATTATTGTCCCAGATTCTTTCTCAACAGGTACAGGCTTTTTAAGTACATGATAATCTGAGTTTTAAGAAGGCATGATTAATAAGAGAGATACATCCTTGTGTATGTGTATATAAATGTTTTTCAAGTTTCTAATGCATGGAATATTTATGATTTTTATGTTTGAAGTTTTTTATGATAAAACTTATTATTTTTGATGTTTGAAGTTTATTTTATAATACTATGAACGAGTAAAATATTTAAAAACAAAATTTTCATGAATATTTACAATTGAATTTTAAAAGCTATCTGTAAATACCTCTATTAGTAGTTTCTTAAAGGCCAGTTATGAGAACCTCATGTCACTTGAAAAACATACTTTGTACCAATTATAAAGAACTAATAAATGATACAATGAATGTTTATCTATTTTTTAAAATTGAAACTGCAAAGACAGTTGGAATCCAGCTTGAATTTTCAAATATTACCCTGTCACATATCTAGGGACCATCCATAACTATAGCTCTGGGGCATCTGATACCCTTTTCTGGCCTCTACTCTCATTGGCTTACACACACACATACACACACACAATCTTAAAAAAATAAAAATAAGTCCTTAAAGGTTAAAATTTGTTATCAGTGATAAGAAGAAGCTATATCAGCAAAATTCTTTTTCTTGCTAGTAAATGTTATTCATGCCATCTCCATTTCACACATATTGTTTTACTTGGGATTACGTGCACACTATTCATCTGCCAACATTAATTCAGAATATTTACTGGATGGTTGATAGCAGAGAAGCAGACATAATCCACTCTTGCAGGAGTGCTCAGTGATTTATTTTGTGTGGATATTTGAGTTACTCTGATATTTCACACACACACAGAGAGAGAGATAAAGAGAGAGGAGAGAGAGGGAAAGAGAGAGAGAGGGAGGGAGGGAAGGAAGGAGGGAGGGAGGGAGGGAGAAGAGAGGGAGACAAAGTCGACATTTATTTATTTTATTTACTCCTCTTTCCTTATTGCTATGCCTCCTGAACATCTCTGGTATTGTCCATAACTTTCCATTTCTATTCTGTTATCTGGTCCATGGTACCATCTGTATCTACAAAAATGTCTGCAGTGTTCATTTTCAATCACGTGCCTCAAAACACAGGTAGACATCATACTTTACCACATCTTGAAATAGTCAACAAATAAAAAATTCTCCACAAATTCATGAAAATATTCATACCACACAGTCAGCTTTATGTTGTAAAATTTTCGATGAAGTGACCATCCACACATCTTTATTAGCAGACGTGCTGAGCTGGGCTTTACAGTGACAGCCAGGGGGGTTTTCAGCTTACTCAGAATGAAGGCGAACTTCTTTCAAGGAGACTAGAGGATAGTAACACCTGCTTTCTCTAATTCTCATAGTTGCTATTTCCCTTCTTTGTAGCTTGTTTTCTGTCTGTCAACAGAGCATAGGAAAATCATTCAGACCTCCTCCAGTGAGTGCCCTCAGCCTTCTCTCATCTTCCTTTATCTCCTGCTTGTAAACCTTGGGAGTGAGTCATGCACCTGCCCTTTCCCGATGCCCAGCTGCTGCTGAGTCCTGTGATGAACCTGCTGTTGCCAAACAGAAGTACTAGTTTCTTCACAAATGAATTTATTCCCCAAGTAGTCTTGAGTCAAGTTTGAAAAGACTTTAGATTTTCCTACAGGCCTAAGATGCCCTGTGTTGGGTAGGAAATGATATCATGGAGGAAAATTGCCTGTATTTCTGTACATTGAAATGTTCGTTGAGCCCACAGTTACATGTTAGTATTCTTCCCTTCTTCCCCCAGTTGAGATGCAGGTGGTGTCCTCTAGTGATGATTCTTGTGCTCCTGTCTCACCCTTTGCTCCATTCCTGATCCCCTCCTCCTGCCCTCTGCAAGCCACCCTTCTCTGTCCCTTCTTACTAACGCCTGAATACGAGCAAATTCTTTCAGTCCACTTCAAACTTTGAATGCTTTTCTGGTTTTTTTAGTTTTAAAATTAAAATAAAATTATATTATTTCCTCCTTTACTTTTTCTCTCTTCTTACTCTTCATACATCTTTTCCTCCGAAACCCTCCCATGTTGTTTGTCTCCAATCCCTGACATTTCTATGCTTAGTCACTCTCAAATGCAGGGCTTCTTTTTCTTTATTATTGTCACACCGTAATTTGAGAAGGAGAAGGGCATTCTTTTATTTAAATGTACTTAAAATTTTTTATATATTAACTTTGTGGGTTTTTTTTCATTGTTTTGCATGTATTGTGTATGGATGCACACATGTGTGTGCCTGGCGCCTACTGAGGCGAGAGAGGCTTTCAGAACCTGAAACTGATGGTTGTAAGCTGCCATTTAGGTCCTGGAAACAGAATCCAGATTCTCTGGAAGAACCCCCAAAGCCCTGAATCACTGAGCCACCTCCCTAGCTCCATGTTGTTTCTCACTCTTTAAGAATAACAATAGCAGATATGCTTGTGGTCAGTCCTTTATTCAGATACTATTCAATAGTAAGCTCCGAAGTGTCTCGTGTCTCTTCAGGGTATGTCGACTAGTAAGTTCAGCTTTCTAGAATAAGGCAAAGGAAAATGGGCTCTGAAGGCTTTATGCACACAAATTATCCAAGATAGTGTCTGCAAATATCCTATCATGGAAGGGAAAGGAAAGTACAAGTCCCTATGCATCCTGGATACTTATATGTAGTTAAATGCTGTTGAGAGAGGGTAAGTCAGTCCAGCAGCAGAGTTTCTGTGAAGGTGCCCATGCTTCCACAAACAACTCTGTGTCAACTATAAAGTAAGCAATTCTAATGCAACTCATTGGAGCATTAAGAAAAAGAGAAACAGAAAGAGGAGGAGAGAAAGGAAGGAAGAAAGGAAGGAAGGGAGGAAGGAAGGAAGGAAGGAAGGAAGGAAGGAAGGAGAGAGAAAGAAAGAAAGAAAAAAAGAAAGCAAGCGAAGGAAGAAAGAAAAAAATGAAGATGGAGGTCTAATGGGGAAGAAGAAACCAACTAGTGGGAATGAGAGACAAACAAAACGAGAAAAGAGATGAAATTGATCAGAATAGATCACATACATATATTTAAAAGTCATAAATAATCCCACTGCATACATTATATGTTATTATATTAGAAAAGACAAGACAGGATGAACATGCTGAGTTAAATCACAATTTAAGAGATATCTTCCTAAACTAACACAATTAGTTTTTCAATAGTGTGATATGTTGCATTCTTTACTAGATTTTCTATGATAATTCAAATGCATGTTTTAAATTTCACCCTAGATGTTCATAATAGATATAGTTTAGTATCACCTTCTCAGCTTCACCAATCTACTACAAGAATAAATACACAAACCCTATAAGTATGTGAATATGAAAAGCAAGACAAAATGCTCAGAGTTTTCTAAATAAAATGGATGGATGGCCACATAGTAAATGACAAAATATCTTAAGTTTTTGTTTGTTTGTTTTTGTTTGTTTTTGTTCTTTGAGATAAGAAATCTCTGTGTATCCCTGGCTGTTCTGGAACTCACTCTGTGGACAAGGTTGGCCTTAAATTTAGAGGTCCTTCTGCCTCTGCCTCCTGTATGCTTGGATTAGAGAAAGGCGTATACCCCAAACCTGGCTCTCTATCTTTAAAGCATAATACCTTGTTTTTATGATTCTGCGTATATTTAGTTGTCTTGTTTCTGTGAATAACGCTGCTATAAATGGCAAAAAAGTAGGAGAAGTGGGTTTTTAGTTGATGGTTTCAGAGTTTTCTCTCCATTGTTGCTAAGCTCCTTTGATTCTGAGGCCATGGCCAGGAAGAAAACTTGTCAGTTTTTTTCTGCAAAGAAAATCAATTTACTACATGGTAGGAGACAAGAAGAATGAGGTAGGACAAGACATTCCTCTCAGAAACTAGGTGGCATCTTCCTCTTACAGTTCTAGAAACTTCTCCAAATAATATCCACAGGTAATTAAGAATGTGGCACATGAGACTTTAAGGAGGTAAAGCATATACAAACCATAAGAGTATGTATTTTAGAAGCTCATGGGTCTAAAGTAGGAAATTATTTAATAAAAGTCATGCTCATATTTTAATTTTAAAGTTGCTAAGGAGAGGACCAGAGAACTAAAATCAGATGGTGGACTTTGACAATTCACATCAACTAGAACATTGCAAGTACTTTTATTCTGGAGCCAAAAGTCAGAAGAACAGTATGCAAAGTACAGAAAATTGAGTGCATGTTGAGGAATGTTTAACTTTGCAAAGATGCATTACATTTGCTTAACTATGGAAAGATGTGCTGCATTTGTTTAGTTACATAGAGATATATTGCTATATTGCTATTTTTACCCTGACTGTCTACGGCCCCTGATAGGTCTAACAAAAAGTTGAATGGCCAATAGTGAGAGAGAAGGAGTTTTGGCTCAGGGAAAGAAAAAAAAAAGACAGGGAAACACGAGGGGTCAGCCAGATGAGGAGGCAGTGGGAAAGTAGGACATACAAAATGAAAGAAAGGTTTTGTCCTGGGGCAAAACGTAGATGACTAGAAACAGGTTAAACTAAGTTAAGGGAGCTAGTGGATTAAGCTAAGCTAACCTAAGCTAAGGCTGGGCATTCATAACTGATAGTCTCTGTGTTTTTATCTGGGAGCTTATTGGTGGCCAAGTACAAGGGCCTCTGTCCATGTAAATGTGTATGTTTATAAACTTATCCGTGTACATGCACTCCAGTGCATACATCTGTATGTGTAAATGTATATGTATATAAGCATATCTGTGTACTTAGAATCCTGCGCGTTTAAGTAATCACACTTTCCTTCATAATATGTGTCTTTTTCAGTTTTCTACACAATCTGTTTTATTGTGCTATTTCTATTTAAAATATGCTTATTAAATGAGTGCATGATTACACTCAATGTACGGATATTGAACGGAATGAAAAAAGCACGGTGATGTTAACAATTTCAAATTAATTGTACATTTAATTTTGACTTCAGCTCAGTAAAATATAATTCTTATCTTTCAAAAGAGTTGTGCATAGATGAAGAACACAGGACAGTTCCAAATTGTGTGGAGAACTTGGTAACACACAGATCAGAAACCTTGTATTTCTTCATCCTCGGGCAGTGTCTCCAGGGACTCGCAGGGATGCCTCTTTACATCCTTGGTTTGACCTTCCTTTATGACCACTCTGCCACATACTCAGCTGGCATCTATTTAGGCAAGTTTGGATTTTTCTAATATGTGTGAACAATTTTGAATATTCATTTGGTTTCTGTATGTTTTAACTGACACCAAAGTACTATTGGCCCTGTGAGGACGTTGTAATAACTACTGAAGACTTGTTGGCTTAACTTCATAATCACATTGATCTACCTAATTCTGAAATTTGAAACCTTGAACAAATAATTGAATGTCACTGAATATATTTAGAGGAATAGAAAATAGATGTAATAGGAAAGAGAGAATGAATCTCTTTCCCTGTAAGAGAGAGTGAGAAAGGGAAAGTGTTGGCTGAATGCACTCTCATCTCTTTCACATATATTGTCTTATGTTAAACTAAGTCCTACATTAAGCAAACATTGGATATCCCAAAATAATCTATTCTCTTTTTCTGTAATAAAGTCTGGTCCTGGTAGACACAATGAAGATGTACTTTCACAGAGATATCTAAAAATCATTTTCAAAAATCTAAAATTATTTTTGCACTTACTTTGAAGACATCTGAAAAGTAAATAGTATGGAGTATGCCTGTCACCTCCAGCCACAGGGGGACTGAGGCTTGAGAATTATGAGTTCAAAGCCCATCTATACTGCATAACAAGTACCAGGCCAGTCACATTTGTATAAAAAGATTATGTCTCAAAACAACAGTAGCAACAAGAAACAAGCAATAACTTGCACTGAAAAATATATAATTTACACGAAGACTAAGAAAATCTCTCCAGTAGACTATAATAAAGACTATACTTATTTATATATACCTTTGTGAGAAATTCTTATACCTTATTAGCATTGGTCAAGACTGAAAATACCCGTTTTAGTTCTGATAAGCAAAAATTAAGACACATATCAGTATAATATACAGAGAGGCTTACTATATTGCCACCTCCTCCTACTCTGGAATCTTACGTGAATAATGCCTAATTAGGTAATTAGGAAAATGCATTATCTTACTTTAGTGACATATTAAAGAAAATATACTTTATTTACATTCATATAGAATATAAATATTCATATAAATAAGATTCAACTAAGTTCATAATTAAATTATTGAGTATCTAATACTTGATTAGATAAGAAGATGTGCCATCCAGTTGTACTTTCAGACTGAACTCTATGTGACTCTCTGACATTGCACTAGGAATGATAAACATTCACAATCAGCCACCGAGTAAAGCAGATGACAGTTTTGATAAGAATAGGTCTCATGCAAGCAAAAAAAAGTTCCAAGAGTACAAAGTGTCTGTTCCCAAATAAGCAGCGATTGTGGCACAGGACAAGCATCTTCTTTAAGACTAATATCAACTCTTACATAAATTTCCAACCCGCTGTCTACCCTACTAATGTGGGATTTGTTAGAATCAATTCCAGAAATTATTTACAATTTTCTCTCTCCCTCTTTCATCTCCTCCATCTCTTTCTTCCCGTCTTTTCCTACCTGTCTTCCCTCTCTTAAGTAGTAGAGAATAGAATGAAAAACTTTCAGATACCACACATAGTTCAGTTTTTTTTATTATTATCACCAAGTTAAGATGTGAAGCTGTTTGGTGTTGTGTTCATTTTCAAGGTATTGCAGAAGCCATACAAATACTGGGATACGGTCTGGGTTTCATAGTGGGATCACCAAATATTAAACCTCCAAAGAATCAAGCTTTGAACAGATTGTAAGTCACACTATTTACTTTTCTATTTTGTGTATATCCAATATAATACTTGAATAGATACCATGGCTCATAAATAATATGTATTTAATTAGTAATATTGTTATGAAAATGCATAAGTTGAGTGTGGTGTGTACACGTATGTAAACATAAATACATTTATATTGTGCATTCATATTTTTATTTTTTGAAATATAACTAAAACCATTACTTAAAAGATCAATAGCTTTTTATTTTGTCGATAAAAGCATACAATATTCATTCAATACAGTACCGTAGTTATAATTTATTGCATCATATATAGAAGTTTCCACCTTGCTTAGGGTTTTTAACATAATATTATGATGATATTCTTCCTCCATGTTATACTTCTCTCAGATCTTCTCTACCTCCCTAACACCCAATATTGTGACCTCTCTCTCTCTCTCTCTCTCTCTCTCTCTCTCTCTCTCTCTCGTGCATTTAACAAAACAAAAATAAAATATAAAAAAGAAACAACACCCGCAAAAATGAAAATCCAGAAAGAAAACAAGCGAAAGACCAGTACGACAAAAAATGATAAAACAAAACAAGATGAAAAAATAGTTTGCAAAAGACACATTGAGTTCATTGAGACCAGCTCTGAAATATTGCTGTTATACACAATGACACTCTACTGTAGAAAACTTATTGTCCCTTCACAAATGGGCATCTATTAAAATTAGTTTCATGGTTAGGACTGGGATCCATGTCTTTTTCCCCGTCTCATTGATTGGGACCCCATCTTGGACTAGTGCAGATCTTCTTTGTGTTACTAAAGTCTCTGAGTTCATATGTGGATCAGTCCTATCATGTCTGGAAGATGCTACCCTGGAGTCGTTACTTCTGGACCTTACAATCTTTTCACCTCCTCTTCCATCCATAGCCCCGAGACTTGAGGGGAGGGGTTTAATGAAGACATCCCACTTAGAATTGAGTGTTCCAATGTGCCTCACTCTTTCCACATTATCCAGTTGTGTCTTTGTGTTAATTAACTTCTACTGCAAGAAAAAGCTTCTCTGATGTGACTTGAACAAGGCACTGTTAAACGGGTATACGAGAATACTAATAGTAGTTATTTGATTGCTGTAGTCCTTTAGCAAAATAATAGTATTAGGTTTTCCCCTAGGGCCATGACTTATCTTGTCTCAACTTCTTGACCACTTTAGCAGTATCAGATATGGCTTCCATCTTGGGAAGTAGACCTTAACTCCAATCAAAAAGTTCTTGCTTACTCCCAGAAGCTTTGTGACACTATTGCACAGATACCACTCAAAGGAAGGGCCCTGTTGCAGGTCACAAGCTTTATACATTGGTGGTATTGATGATTACATTTTTCCTTTGGTAACTTGCAGAGTGCCTTTATCACTAGTCAGTAGGGATAAAGTCTCTAGTTAGGCACTAGTTCAACTTCTCTTTGTTTGATAATGTAAGTATTGTATTAAACAATTGAGCTTGACTCACCTAGCTGTAGAGAGCAACTGATAGCCTTGGGAACAGCTAGTGGTAGGGGTTTCATAGCTTGCCTTATCCCTGAGACTTTACAGCATAAAATAGCTAGTTGGGGCATTGTCTCCCCCACTTTGTGATACCAGTTGGATACCCTTCATATATGTAGATATTTTAGGAAGCTTTTACTGTAGCAGGTTTCCATATGGGAGTTCAAATAGCCTTTTGCGTTAGTCATTCCTCCCTAAAGTCCCTCCTTTATCTTTCTCCCTCATCCTCTTCCTTAATTAATTAATCTTCATTAGCCCTCTTCCTTAACCTATGAATTTCTTTCTTATATTTCCATAAAATTAAGTTGTATTTCTCCTTCCGTTGGATATCTTTTTCTTCCTCTTGGTCCCTTAATAGGTACTTCTGGTGTTATTTATATCATACCAAATATATTAAAGGTCTGAAAGCTTACATTCACATATAAGAGAAAATATGTAGTACTTGTCTTTTTGTGGCTCGGTTACCTGACTAAGAATGACTTTTTTCTGGTTCCACCCATCTACCTGCAACGTTGACAATTTCATTTTTAACAAATGAATAATATTCTATTTTTTTAATATACCACATTTTTATTGTTTGTTATTTAGTCGATGGACATCTTGGCTATTTCTAGTTTCTGTCTACTGTGAATACAGCAACAATGAACATGGATGAGCAAGTGTCAACGCAGAATCTTGGGGGTATATACCCAAGAGTGGTGTAATTTAATTCTGAGGTAGACTGACTCCCAACTTTCTGAGGAAAACTTGACATTGATTTCCATAATGGCTGCCCCAGTGTGCAGTGTAATCAGCATCCACTGTCATTTATTTTGTTGATCTTGACAGCCTGACAGGTGTGAGACAAAAATCTCAAAGGAGTTCTAATTGGCATTTTCCTGATAGATAAAGTTGTTGAGCATTTCTTTAAGTATTTCTCAACCATTTGTGTTTTGCCTATTGAGACACCAATAGTTTTATACATCATTTTTAAATTGGGTTATGTTTAGTGTTCTAGTTCTTTATATTTTGAGATATTAATATTCTATCAAACATGTAGCTGGCAAAAAATAATTTTTCCACATTCTTTTGGCTGTTGTCTGGCTTGAATGATTGTATGTCGTTTGCCTTTTAGAAACTTTTTAGCTTCATGAAGTCTCATTTATTAATTGTTGTTTTGGGTGGCTATTAGAGTCCTGTTCAGAAAGTCCTTTCTCGTGTAAATGAGGTCAAGCTTATTCTCCGTCCTCTCTCTCTTCTGCCAGATTCAGTTTATTTGGTCTTATTTTGAGGCTCTTGATTGACTTGAGGTTGAGTTTTATGTAGTGTGACAGGGATCTATTTACATTCTTCTACATGAAACTATGAAGTTTGCACTGCTATTTTTTTAGATACTATTCTTTCTGCAGTTTGTATCTTTTGGTTTTGAAATAAAAAGTTCTATGTCTTTATATGTATAGTTCTTCAGTTTGATTCCATGGATCAATGTGCTCTTTTAAATGCTAATACCATAGTGTCTTAGTACGATAGCTCTGTATTACAAGTCACAATTACAGATCATGGTACCTTCAGCAATACTTTCATTACCTAGGATTGTTTTAGCGCACCTGCACTAAAACAGGTGTGTGTGTGTGTGTGTGTGTGTGTGTGTGTGTGTTTTCATAAGTTGAAGGTTTTACTCAATTATTGTCACAAATTGTGTTGGAAATTTGACGCAGCTATTGTTGAATCTGCAGTTTGTTCCTGGTAGGATGGCCATTTCCCCTGTATTAACCCTTATGATCTGTGAGCATGGGAGATCACACCCCATGATCTTTTTCAACGTCTTGAAATTTTTATTACACAAGTTGTTTACTCACTTGGTTAGAATGATCTCAAGATATTTTTTGCGACTATTGTAAAAGGTGGTGTTTTCATAATTCTTCTCAGTCTTCTATTTGCATATAAGAAGAATACTGATTCTTGTTTGTCAAATATTTTTATCTTGCTACTGTGCTAAAAGTGCTTGTTATCAGTAGAGGTTTCCTGTCAGAGTCTTTATGGTATGTTATCCATAAAAACATTTAATCTACTAATACGGATAATTTGACTTCTTCCTTTCCTGTTTGTGTTACCTTGAATGCCTTTTGTAGTCTTAATACTTTAGCTAAGACTTACTGTACTATAATGAATAGGAATGAAGAGTTCTTTGTTCACATACCTAATTTTAGTGGAAATGCCTTGAGTTTTTCTTCATTTAGGTTGATGTTGGCTGTAAGCTTGAAGTAAATTACTTTTGTTATGTTGAGGTGTATTCCTCATATTCCTAAACTCTCTAGGAATTTATCATAAAGTAATGTTACATTTTGTCAAAGGCGGCTTCTCATCTTTTATTCTGTTTATGTAGTAGTCCATGTTTATTGGTTTATTTACATTGAACCATACCTGCATCTCTAGGATGAAGCCTACTTGATCATGGTGAATAATCTTCTCACTGTGCCCTTGTATGTGGTTTACAAGTATTGTATTAAGAAATTTTACATTTATGTAACCCTTGTAGTGTTGAAAATCTGCATTCCATTAACAGTAGAATCTTGGGAAACATGAATCTAAGTGCTGTCCAGCTTTTGTAAAATTGTAAAAGTGACTACAAACACATAGAAAACAAGCATCTTGGTCAGAATTTCTGAACAGCTAACAAAAAAGGTAGAAATATTACTGCAGCAGAACACCTATAGCAGTCTTCCCATCCCCCTTGCTCCCATCTCCTATGCATGCCACTGATCTGTGTCTTCTAACCTCCCAGGACCCACTCTTTGTTTTGTCCCAACCTCTACTCCCTGCCAACCCAAAGCCCACTCCTCTCATTAAAACAAGTAGGCTGAAGGTGGTCCCACTATCTCTTCCTGATCCTGAGGTGCTCTCACCACAGTTTTTTTTCCCCAGCTCTGTACCTGGAAAACTTCTGAAGCCTCCTCTCTGACCCCGTCTCCAGTGGATCACAATGACCAAGCTTCCTTCTCCCAACTCATCTCAGCATCTCAGAATCCAACATGAATGTGCATTCCTTAGGAACACACTAGCTGACCAAGCCAGGAAATCAGTCAATACACAACCATCACACTCTTCAGAAATGCAGAAAGGAAACAGAAACTAAGAAACAAATATCAACCCAACAAAGAGAAATCCAGAAACTGGCACCTAGAATGATAATCCTGCAAAACTCAGACACTAAGATGCCAGCATCAAAACAGAATAAAACTCAGGGCACTATGTCTCCACTGGAGTTCAGCTAGTCTCTGAATACTCCACCATGCTGAAGCACAGGGAGAAGATCTTAAAAGCAGCTGTATGACCACAAGAGTCTTAAAGAGGAAATGAATAAACCTTTTAAAGAAATCCAGGAACACACACATACATTGGAGGAAATGAAATTGGAGGAAGACATCTTTTTTTATTTTTTAAATTACTTTATTTATTTATAAAAATTTCCACTTTCTCCCCTCCTTCCAATATCCTCCCATTCCACCCACTCCCTCTCCTCCTCCCTCTCCAGTCCTAAGAGCAGTCAGGGTTTCCTGCCCTGTAGGAAGTTCAAGTTCCTCCCCGCTCCCTCCAGGTCTGGGAAGGTGAGCATCCAAACAGACTAGGATCCCAAAAAGCCAGTACATGCAGACGAAACAAGACCCAGTGCCATTGTCAATGGCTTCTCAGTCAGCCCCCATGTCAGCCTCATTCAGAGAATCCAGTTTGATCACATGCTCGTTCAGTCCCAGTCCAGCTGGACTTGGTGAACTCTATATTGATCTAATGGAGGAAGACATCTTAAGATCAACTATTTGAATATGATTGAGGTCCTTTAAGAGGAAATGAATGAACACCTAAAAGAAATCCAAGAAAGCGGTGTAAAGAAATGAATAAAACTATTCAAGTTCTGAAACTAGAAAAAGAAGCAATAAAGAAAACCCAAACTGTCATGGTTCTGGAAATGAATATTTTAGGGATTAAAATGGGAACTACAAGAGGTAAACATCACCAAAAGAATACAAGACATGGAAATGGGAATCTCAAGAATTGAAGGTATGTTAGAAGAAATGGACACATTAGTCAAAGAAAATGGTAAGTCAAAAAAACCTTCTGACACAAATCATTCAGGAAGTCTGGCACACTTTGAAGAGATCAAACAAGAATAAAATAATAGAAGAACATTAGCTCAAAGGCCCAGAAAATATTTTCAAATAAAATCATAGAAGAAAATTTTCTAACCTAAAAAAGAGATAAGGCACCTATTAAGGTACAAGAAACATATATAACAACAATTAGATTGGACCAGAAAAGAAAGTGTCCCATCATACAATAATCAAAACACTCAACATACATAACAAAAATGCTTTTCAGGAGACTACTCCTTTCAGCTCTATTGCCTGCCCATGAAGATACAGACAGCACTATATCTGCGAGCACACTGTGGTAATGCTCCCTGCTGTGTGAAGCTGTGAAGGTAATGCCTAGGTTGCCTTGGAGACCTCAAGATGCTAGAGAGACCGGAGTACTTGGATATCTACTGAAAAAAGCTGCCAATAGGGAGTGGTCTTTAGAAGATTTAGTATATTGTAGTTAACAGAGCTGGAAGGAGTTGGAGATCTGAAGAGTGTTTTGGCATCAGACAAGGAGATGAAGAGTCTGGAGTTTGCCCAGATCGTTTTCAGTCTTTCTTTGGTCCAGTATTTCCTCACTATGCTCCCTTTCCTACATTTTGGAGTGATAATGTATAATCTGTGCCATTATGTCTTTGAAGCATGTGATCTGATTTTTTTAATTTTGATTTATAGAAGACTACAGTTAAGAGATCATATGAATCTCAGAAGAGACTTTGAACTTTAGAGTTTTAAATTAGTTTGATACTGTTATAGATTATGGGGACTTTTGAAGTTAGACTGAATGCATTTTTGCATTATTATATTATTACAAGCTTGTGGGGATCAGGAAGTGTAATTGTGGTGTTTTGAAAGAAAACGGCCTCCTGAAAAGGGTGGTACATTAAGAGGTGTGAGCTTGTTGACGTACGTGTGGCCTGGGGAAGGGTATCACTGTGGGGGTGGGTTTTCATGTCTCTTTTGCTCAAGTTTCACTCATTGTGGCAATCAGTCTACTTACTGTTGCCTGCACAGCAACATGTAGCAGTTCCTTCTCCAGCACGATGTCTGTCTGCAGCCTGCAATGCTTCCTGCTATTATAATAATGATAATGAACTAAGCCTCTGAAAGTGTAAGCTCCTATCTCAATTAGCTAAGACTTGTTGTGGTCATGGTGTCTCTTCCCAGCAATAGAAGTCCCAACTGAGGCAGTCCATTTTCACACTATTAATCCTTCTAAATCATTACATGAATGTCAATCCAACTATTACTAGTTTCTTTTATTGTTTTCTTCAGTTCTTGATGGTTTTCTACCTTCTAGTGTTTTGTGTACTTCACCGTAGTTTCTTTTACCTTCATTAACTTTTCAGTAGGTGCTTTATGTTTTGGTGCAACTATAAATATGGTTTTTTTCTGATTTCTCTCTGTATGTTTCTTTTTGGTTCTAGAAAAGTAGAGAGGAAGGTGTGAATAGTTTGAAAATTAACTTATGGATGATTGTTAGCCATCGTGTGGGTACTTGAAGCCTAGCCATGCTCCTTGCAATGATATTCAGTGCTTCCAATTTCTGTCTATGTCATCTTTGTAGTTCCTAGCTAAGATTTTCCATGGGTATGAAGCTGAAAAGATTAGTAACAGTGTATTCACTGATTTCTGTAGATCTTATCCCTAAATGTTTGAAAAAAATAGACAAACAAAAACCTTGAATAACTTTGAAAATTATTCTAGGTGGTCTCAGCATTGATTAAAGACTAGGGATGTTGATACCTTGTGCTTACTCTGTGAAAGAGAAATTTAGCAAATCCCAGCACAGGATCTTTCATATTCTGTCTCTGCCGGGCCAGATGCTAAACTCTGAGATTAGCATAAGATCACAGAAGTATGAAATACACTTAACACAATGGACCTGAAGGAAGGGATGTCAGATGATATGTGACTCTAAGGGTCAGGTGCCATGTACAAGAGAAGTTGCCCCAGAGGTCCAGGCGTAATGTTTAAAGGAGCAGGATAAAGAGGGAAGACTTGGTTTTCCAGGAGCACAGCTGTTAATGGAGATAATTTTGAATCGGTACAAAGAGGAACTTCTGCCACCCGAGGAGTGTCACTGAAAATGAAGTGGGAAAGTTAGGCACTGAGAAGATCGAAAAGCAAACCACACAACTGAATATTAGCCACTGACACTTGCAAACAAACACCAAAAATTAATAGTGGGAAATTAGAAATGAATGCAAATTAGCAGAAAATTCTCTCTCTTACCACTAATTATGATTTGAATTTTAAATGTCCCTAATTTAAACTTTCCAATTTTTCTTTATTCCAGGATCGCTCTCGCGTCTCTATTGCAGCAGATCAATTGGTGGGCTAGTTTCCTTAGTGCCACTGTGCTTGCATGGGTCACCTTTTTCCCATTACTATGTTTTCCATCAAATTTACCTGGTGAGTATAAAAACATAATTACTTAGAGTAATTCATGCCCTCAGGTCCCATTCTCAAAACACAGAAAAATCACATTTCTTTATAAATATGACTCTCCTGCGGGTATTACTCGCTGATAAATAGTATCACAGTGTTGTAGTTCTTGTTTTTTTTTTTAACAAATCAAGCAATATAGCATCCAAATATTATATTAATACACTACAAATCCACTGGTGCATATTTGTGTCACTCATTATTTCCCTTTAATAATAGTCTTTTTGTTTAAAGTGCATAATTGTCTTTTAAAAATGAACTACATCAACTCTTTTTACCTACTGTTTTAGTCAGGATTCTCTCAAGTAACTGAGTTTATAGAATGAATCTCTCTCTACATACAGAAAGGGGGGTTATTAGAATTACTTACAGTCTGTGGGCCATTTAATCCAACAAGGACTGTCTGTAAGCAGAAGGTCCAAGAATCCTTTAGTTTTTCCACCCATAAGGATGGTATGTCTTAGCGGGTCTTCACAATACATTGAAATCCTGAAGACAAAGGTTCAAATGCAGGGAAGGAATGGACTTCTTAGTGACAGTAAGAACATGCAGGCAAAGAGCCAAAGTGACTGAAGGGAAGTCTGAGCTTTTAGTTATTACAAACAATTAGGAATGGAAATTACAATATTCCTAGACATTTGGGATGCATCTGGAGCAACTCTGGAAAGGAAAGCTCATCACTCTCAGAACACCTGCCCAAAACTCACAGTCACTTCTTTAAAAGATGCAAATGACAATAGACATTTGAAAAACGTTCAACATCTTTTTCCACTGGGGAAATGCAAGTTAAGCCTGCATTGAAATTCCACCTTTACTCGGTTAGAATAGCTGTCACCAGGAGAAAAAAGGCTAGTAAGGATTGGGGGATAAGAATAACTTTTACTCCCCACCGGCGGGAACATGAAGTTGTACAGGTACTCTGAAGGTTCCTCAAAAGAAAAATAAATGACCTGAAATAAGGAACTGGTGAGATGGCTTAGCAGTTAGGAATGCATACTACTCTTGTAGAGGACCTGAATTTGGACACAACTGCCAGTACAATTTAAAATTTAAAAGCAATTGCTTTTGCGCATGCACACATGTACACACAGACACATTGCCCCTCCATCTGCACATAACTAAAAATCTTTTTTAAAAATTTAAGTAAATCCACCATATGACCTATGACCTATGACTCTTTGATATGTTTACGTGAAGGACTCTGTCGCAGAAATAGCTAGAAAATCAAACCAATCTAGGTGTTCATAAACAGTATAATAAGCGAAAAAATGTAGTACCTATATGTTGGGAGCATGAACGTCCTTACATCCACAGATCTTCAGAGAAACTAGGAATGTTAAGCACACAGGATTGCTGTATCAAAGGAAAGGACGCATAATCTGCTCTTGCATGCAGAAAGCTGGGGATTGGAGGTTATTAACATCCTAGTGATCTGTGTTAACTGTTTGGTCAGGCCACTCCACAGGGATGGCTAGTAATCTAAATGACCCTTACAATCGCTCAAACTCTTACAACCAGGGCTTGAGATACCTAACATAGTCTAAACGACTTTTATACTATCCATATAACCAAGGGCTCCCCCAGGCTATCACAATATGGACCAGAAGTGGTTAACAGCCCAAATAAACTCAATGCTGTCTGTATGACAAAGACTAAGGCCAATTCTTCCTTAAGACCTTCAGCTAGTACAGAATCCATCTTTTTGGAAGAAATGACATGTATCCTGATATGAGTTTGAATGTAATTATTGCCCCTTTTGCACCAGGAATTGTGTTATGCCAGGAAAGTTTTTCCCCAATTATATCATGTTTAAATACACTGATAATAGACCACTTGGAATCAGGCTATCCAAGGTTTGATCCAGGTCTATGGAGTGAATCTGAACCAAGTTTCTATTCTGGCTTCTTCTTGGTTCATTTCACTGCCTGGCACCCACAGTGACACCTGACCTTTGCATAGTGGAATTTTCCTTAGCTGTAAAAAATAAAAAAGACAAAACCACGAATATTTTAAGAAAACTGAGATAGTTAGAAAATTATCTTAAGATGAACCAATAAGACTCAGAAAGTGAAATACCGAATGTTTCTTTCTACTGTCCAGGAGACATAAATTGAAAAATATGTATGTATGTATATGTGTGGATGTGTATGCATCCTTGTGTAAATGTGTATGCATATGTGTGTTTATTGGTGGGGGGGGTGACTGAACTAGAAAGATGATAGTATGAGGGTCTGAAGAGAGCTTAAAGAAAGTTGGATACACAGTAATAAAACACTTGTATAAACAAAAGTTGATAGTTAACAGGAGACAGGAGTCAACTGAAGAAGGAAGATGACATGGGGGGAGAGCAATAGAGAAAGGGAACAGTAAGAACATAGTATGATTACATATATGCATGAAAATAGTTATGAAAACTACTATTTTATATTCTTTATATTCTAGTCTACAATGTTTAAAAATAAGTGTCTCACAAGTTTAGTAATCAAATAAATGATAACTGAAACTCTTTTGTGATTCAGTCTCTCACCCCGGGAGACTAGACATCTTTCACCAGAAACTGAAGTCATCCTGACTGGTACTGCACTCTTAGCAACCTCCATGATAAATAAAACTAGCCTTGACATCCACCAACAGACGACTACACTCACATAGAAAGGAAAGTCATAACACTTGCAGGAAAAAGGCTGAGATGGCATTTGTATGTAAGACATGAAGGGAGAAAAGGGGTTGTATAAGAAGAAAACATGAAGAAGCTGGAAGAGGATAGTGAGGAAGAGCAAGTCAAGACAGGAAAAGTGTAATGATATGTGCATGGGAATGAAAATGTTATAGTTATATTTAGTACTACTCTTTTCACTATTATTACTATGTATTATTACAAAAGTTCTTACTTGTTAGTGCTCTTTATTACCACAAAATATGCTGTGATAGACAAAGGTGTTTTATTTTGAAGGGGTGTTTTAGGGATGGGTCATCAAATCTTAATAATTTATTGAATGTGACTATCAAATTCTACATTAAATTAAGAACCAGTTAATTCATCTATAGGAAGCACCCTTTCCGCAGCAGAGAGAAATACATAGTGATCAACTGCAGAGTTGGGCAGTGCAGATGTGAGAAATTTTCATTATCAAATAATTGTCTTTGCAAAGTACTACTGTATATTAATTTGCATTATAAATTATACAATGGTTTTAATCTGTTTAAAAAGAACTCACTTGCCTTTCCATGACAAACTGGGGTTATTATATGTCTTCCTACTTGCTTCAACATACAATATTTTCACTTGTGACCTACAGGTGCAAATAAGATAAGACGTCGAAAAGAGAAAGAATCTCCCACCTTTGACAAGAACCTTAAATATAAGAAATTTGGACCTCATTTGAAGGATTTGCTTCATGCTCTTCAGGTAGAGTAAAATACTTCTGTTAATAAGCCAGTTGAGTTGGCCTGTTTAATTTTCATATAGAGTTAAGAAAATGGCAAAGTGTTTAATAAATTTGTGTGAAGGTTTTGGAGTCTCCTAATTAAATTGCTCATTTCCCCTGTGATGGAAAGAAAGAACCCTTTATTATTTAGCACTACTAGAAACCTGCCTATTGCCAGAGACAGCTGGCACACAACTATGATTTTGATTTACTTTTCATTATTTTTCAAATTTTTTTGTCTATATTCTCTGGAGAGGTAGATATGATATTTAACAAGATAACATAAATTTGAAGAAGTTGTGTCTATACATATTCCTTCCCAAAAATCACAATATTGAGTACAAAATCCTTTCTTTTGTACATAAGAAACATGCCTACCATAGTAGCAGATACCAGGGTGAAGAGAAAGCCAGTTCCTATAATCTACTCCTACTTTGAATGTTTTTTCTTCTACTTAAAACTTACTTTCTGGCATATAAATTGCACGGTAATTGTCACATATAGTTCTTATTCATTTTTAGTGAATTTTTCACTCTGAATATAACTGCAAAAGTCTTCAAAATACCATCACCTGATTTTTCCTATCTTACTTTACAGTTGTATCACTATCTTCCCAATTTTCAGTTATTTTTTTCTTTGGTGGAGATGTTTCATTACTCACTGACCAACTCAAAACAACCTATTCCTTTTTGAAATATTTCTATTTTGAAATTAAAATATAATAAGACTTCCTCTTTCTCCTTCCTCCCTTCTTCCCTTCTCATGTACTCCCCTGCCCCTGCTCTCTCTTAACTATAAAGAAAGAACTATAACTACAAGCAGTTAAGAAACATTAAGAGCAAGAGAAATAGCTTTCACTAGGGAAGAGACCCCAATTCCCTTGAAAGTATTTGTTAGCTGTTTGTGCTTCCTTTTCTAAGGACGCTCAGTCCAGCTCCCTAGGCATTTGTTATTTGTATTGTTTGCTTTTATTAGATTTAGTTTTTTCTTTGTTTATTCTAGTCGTCTATACCACAAAGATCAGGAAAAGGCTTTTTTTTTTCCATTTAGCAGGCTACCTACTGTTTCTCCTAAAGGTCTCCTTTGCAGAAAAGGACTGTTTTGACCTCATGAATCCTGCATGTCCATTGTTTACATTATTTCTCCAGTCACTGGGATCATATTTAGAAATTCCTTTACCTATCTTTAACTGCATTCCCAGATTTATCCTCTAGTTGTTTCAGAGTTTAAATTCTAATATTGGGTTCTCTTATCCATTTGGAACTTATTTTCTGTGCAGGGTGAGAGACAAGGATTAAGTCTGAATCTAGTTTTGCAGCATTGTTTATGGAAGAGGCTTCTTTATCAAAACTCAGATGGCTGTAGTTGCATGGAGTTATGTCTGGATATTCTAATCTATTTATTAAGTAGTCTATTTTTGTGCCAGTACCATGTTTCTTTATTATTATGATTCTGTAGTCTACCTTGAAATTATGTACTCCGATATCTCTGCCAGTATTCTTATTGTCCATGATGCTTTTGACTCTCCTTAGTCTTACGTACTTTCAAGTGAATTTTGTATTCACTTGAAATATAAGTATTTTCGTTTTGGTAAAGAAGTGAGGTATATTTTTTATTTTTAGATTAGATTGACTTTGTAGAGGTAGATACGAATTGGTTGAATTTTTTTCAAAGTTAAATGGATATGCTATGTAAGATAAGATTTATTTTCACTAAGCTCTTATTCTCAAAGTACTACTTTTTAATAAATCATGAATTCTTTGTAGTAATTCATTATATTTCAACAAGACATTCACTTCATTTTAAAGTTGCATTGTACTGCTCAGTCTACTCTTGAACATTTAAGACTTCTCCAGTCGTTGAAGCTCTGGACTTTCTGGTAGGCAGAACCATAACTAGCCTTCTTAGTTCTATTTAAATACTACGTGCACATGTTTTAACAATGCAGGAGTGGAATGACCACATGACATTGGTAAAGGTTATGCTAAAACTGTTAACAATACTTTGGAAACTTTAAAAATGAGCATGTGAACATCCATATGTAGAAGAACCTGTCTCTTCCGCATATACTTTTTGATTCTTTATCAAAAATCAGCAGGCTATAGATGACTGATAGTTTTGGATAGGCTGCATAGTTTTACCCTGGACTCACTGGGCTCTGTGTCTTCCTTTCTGTTTTTGTCAGGCTGATTTGCCTTACTGTGGCTCTGTAGTATGTATTGATATCAGGTATACTAACACCTCCTGTTTTGCTGTGTAACAGATTAATTCAACATACTAAGACCTTTTTTTTCTATTTTATGAATTCCAACATTGTTTTCAATAGTTCTGAAATAGCATCACTAGTGTTGTGGCTGAGGTAGCATGGAATATATGGCTCACTTTTTCATTTGTCAGTATTCTTTCTATTATGATCAAGTATGATTTTTTCATTTGTCATATCTACTTCAATTTGTTTCATCACTGGATTTACAATTTTCATTATAGAGGGGCTTCATTTCTGGGCATTTTTGACAGTTATTTTGATTGTGAATGCTTCCATTTCTTTCACAGAAAGCGGATTTGAGTATTTAAATGCTATTTTACTTTATAGTTTGGTTTTGTTTTGGTTTTGTTTTGCTGCAAATTTCTGTACCAAAGTATCAGTTTTAATATTGTTTTAGTATTGACTTCTGGTTTTTCTGTACATGAAAACATAATCTTTAAACAGATTTGACCCTGTGCCTTGCTACTTGCATACATTTTATCTAAATCTAAAATTGGATTATAGACTAAAACATAATCACAAACTATAAATAACTCAAAAACTCATTCAACATCTATACATAAAAATATCGTGAATAAAATTGAACTTAACATATCTGTATTAATAACCACTTGGGTAAATTGACATATGTGTAATGCTCATTCATAAAGTAGCTATGGCCATGTAGGAAATAACTTAGCCAACTAATCTATAAATTCAATACAGTGATAATCATAGTGCATGGGTTTTTATTTTAAATAATAATAATTTTTTCTAAACTTTATGTGGCAAAATATAGGTGCAAATATAAATAAAACAAACAACATTGATCTAGTAACAACAGTAAGACATACTAAAAGAACAGAGTAGCAAGAACAGTATATCTATAGACTATTATATCTGACAATTTCTTTTCTTTTTTTCTTTTCCTTTTTTGTGAAATGAAAGAACAGAAAAAAAATATAGATTGTACCTGAGGAATGAGACCTGAAGTCATTTGAACTACACATGTATGGGCATACATTTGCATGTGAATCTGAACATGAATTAACATCTGCATACTTGCAAATACACAAAACCGGTGTTTCTTTACATAATTTAGAGTTCACTCAGTGTGTGTTTGTGTGTGTGTGTGTGTGTGTGAGTGAGTGTGTGTGTGTGTGTGTGTGTGTGTGTGTGTGTGATACTGGGTAGTATGAAGATGACATAAATATTTGATCCTGATGTGTCTGCCTAGAGAACTATATAGTTTTGCTTGGATAATTACTTGCATTTAGTTAAGACTAAAGAGATCCAATCCTGCAAATGGATGACTGCCATGTCATGAGATGGAATCATTGTGATATGATCTGTTCTGTTTCAGTGTCTGTTGAAGAGTCCTCTGTTTATGTATCATACAATGTGCAGAGCCACAGAGTCCCTGGCTTATATTGGAGCTGCAGAATTCTTGCCCAAATATTTAGAAAATCAGTTTTTGTTAACGCCCTCACTTGCCACTCTTCTCACAGGTAGATATTTCTTCTTACTGAGATTTCAAGTTTTTCATGATGTGTAAATTTGTGTGTTGTATATACATAAGGGATGTGTCATGTAATCAAAAGGCACAATGTGTAGTGTACTTGAATGTGATTTTCTAAAGAACATTCCAATGATATCTCCATATTTTTAATACATTAACCTTCACTATTCTGTTTATATTGCTCACTATCTTCCTGTCTCCCACCTACGTACCTGAAGATGTCCTCTCCCTTCCCCATTAGGAAACCAGTCTTCTCAAGTCACAGTGTGTTCTTCTTTCTGTGCTTCTATCCATTTTTGCTTGTGTGTCTGCACTCAAAGTTTTTTTTTACATATTCATGTGATTTCCCACAAATTTTTCTATTTCTTTCACCAGAAATTGTGTATTTCAGATTAACATTGATTTGAACTTAATGCATTGTAATTATTTTGTGGTACTCTTTTTTACTTCCCTGCCAAACAATGCCACTCTTTATATACATGCAATTGTATATCCATTATTATATTAAGAGATACAATATTAGATTTGTCTTAATTGGATCTCTGCATCTGCTTCCATTAGTTACTGGATGGAGGGTCTATGATGACAATTACAGTAGTCATCAACCTGATTATAGGGGAAGGTCAGTTAAGGCACCCTCTCCACTATTGCTAGGACTCTTACCTGGGAGTCATCTTTGGGTATTGATGGGAATTTCCCTAGCATCAGGTTTCTCTCTAACCCCATAATGATTCCCTTTTTACTTTTATATGCAGGCCTTCATGCTATGTTACTTTCTTCTACTAGTGACGCTTGTAATAATTGATTTCTCATTTAATGTTGAATTGTTTACAGAAGTCTCTATAATAAAACTCTATAACAAAATATCTTCAAATTTCTTCATTTGTGAATAGAGTTTAGAGACAGAGATTACCACCTAAGGAAAGAGTAGTGTTTCTGTGATCCTTGAAAGAGTGGAAAAACTCTGGCAACTCAAGCAGATGTGTAGGAAGCAGAAATTGTGGAACACCAATGCAATGATGTGCCACAATCATCATGGATTGATGACACTGGTAGACATTGTGGACTTCTCTACACACTGTTGATAGTTACTCTGCCATTTGAAAGTATTCTTCCCCTATTTTATTAAGTAGATATACCCCATTAGAGTTCAAGTGAGACTGGGTTGTGACTTCAATGAAATTAATTCTTCAGAAAGTATAGGTCCGGGGCATAGTACCAGTCCATTGTACACTAGGCTATGGATCCTCAGTTCTTGTGGGATGGAGGAGAAAGGAAGAAGTGCTTTAGAAAACAATAATATTGTATTAGTAAAAAAAGGAAGTTGAAAGGCTGAAGCTGTCACTGAGTGGTGGAGCACTTGCCTAGGGTACATGAAAATCACCAGCATTTAGAAAATTAAAAGAGAAGGATGAATGAGTTGAATCTTAAAAATACATATTAAAAGAAGGAAGAATGAAAACATTAAAAAGAAAAACAGAAGAGAGGAAAGCTCAACTAAAATGAAGATGAACGTAAGAAACATAACAAGAAATGAAACTGCAATGCTAAAATAAAAATAGATGGAGAAAAAATAAATGAAATCATCTTCCTGGGTAAGATCTCTCTGGGTCTTCTACAGTCGAAATTCTTTATGAATAGGGTGAGAATGGTAGGTTGTATTTTCAGATTGATCTAATTCTTCTCTGCTCCAACCAAAGTAGTGGGGACAGAAACATGCTGTGCTCAATATTTGCCAAAGTCATGGTATGCTGACAGAACCAAAAGTGTATACTCTCTGGGGTCTTAGATAGCAATTCTCTGAACATGGATATTAGTGGCAGAACAGTGACCCTGTCTTGCAACACGAATATAGGCGGACTGTAGACTGCTGTAGGTTTATATCTTCACTTAGGAAGTTTTTTTTCCTGAACAATTGATATGTAGGCAGTGTTGGGTCTACAACAAGTTCTCCTCACTGACCACTAAATTTGTATAGACTATGGACAATGCTGGACCGTTTGCTCTGAAGACTTAGTTTTTGGAACCTTGGGTACAGAAAGCATCCAAGACAGGGGGCATGCCTGGAATGCCTCTCACAGTGTGGGTGAGCATAAATTTGCCTGTACCTTGTGTCAAAGAAACTCACCCAGGTATAACAGTCTAGATTTTGCCTGTGATGGCTGCTTAACCAACTGTGCATTGAGGTGTCCACGAGACGTCTGAGGTGTGACTCTGTTGGGACTTCCAGCCTGAGACTAACTGGGTCCTGACACCAGAAGCTCTAGCACTAAGATTTCACTGAGCTGCTTATTAATTTCTTTTGTGAAACAAGTTTGTTATCATATGCCAGGCCAGGTATTGATTTAGGCTACTTGTCTGCAAGATGCAACCTTTTGTTCTAGGTCATTGTTACTTGACAACCTAGGAGCAGAGCGTCCACTTCTGAGTTAAATTTGCACTCTAGGAGCTCACCTTGATTTGCCATTCTCTCTAGTCTGTATAATGTGCCAGGTTTCGCTTTCTGTACACACAACTGACTGTGCTCACCCACTATTCCTTCCATAACAAGTTCCAAGGGTATTATTTTGTTTCCATCCCATTGGAAAGAAAACTAGTGTGGCATGTTCCTATTTCACCATTTGGGACCTGAATTTGAATTTTATCAATTATGTATTTTTATTGTTCACTTGTATTGTTTGTTCTTCATTTTCACCTATCACCTTTATTTCTTTCCTCTTTGCTTTCACTTTTACCACCTTTACAGGCATTTCATTTGCATGTATTCAAACTGTCACCAGATTTAATCTTTTATTTGTGTTGCTCTTGCTATTTAGTTCTCTATCTATCATATCACATTATATACACACAGTTGTCTACATATTGAGCTGATTAGATTTTATTTATGAGTGTACTGCATTATACTGGGTGTTTTCTACTTTTCCTCTTCGTCCTATTTTCCTTGCTTTTTTCAGCTCATAATCTTCTTGCTGTTTCCTCTTTCTAAATATTTATCTTAATTAGAAAAACCATAGCTTGTGGCTGGCGAGATGGCTCAGAGGTCAAGGGCACTGGTTGCTCTTCCAGAGGTCCTGAGTTCAACTCCCAGCAACCACATGGTGGCTCACAACCATCTTTAATGAGATCTGGTGCCCTCTTCTGGCTCACAAGGATACATGCAGGCAAGATATTGTATCTATAATAAATACATAATTTTTTTTAAGAAAGAAAGAAAGAAAAACCATAGCTTATACTGCTTGTACTGGGTATTCTGGAGTCTCACAGACATGTAAGACTGTTCATGTTGATCATCTATGAGAGGTCTCAGTAAGTTGATTGGTCCAATTCTTGTACATTAGATAGTTTGTGAAAGCATATTATCTCAGTTAAGTCTCTTGTAATAAGTAATATATTCAATCAGCTAAGTAACAGTATTTCTCAATAGGACAGCTCATAACTTTTATGTGGTATGAACTAAGTTCATGGTTTGCTTAGGTATTAGATACCCTGCTATTAGATACCCAGTGTATAAGAGCATCACCACCACTACTGGTATCCAGTAGACTTATAATGGCTCCATTCCCATTCACAGGAATGTAAATATTATGGAGTCCAGATTTATTCAATTACTACATCTTCAAGCTTTACTTTTTTACTTTGAAAATTTGCATTTGAGTAGAGGGAATGGCATCAATATGCTACTTTTGGTACTTTCAATGGGATATGTTTTAACAGTATTTTCTTTTTCCTTTCTTAGGAGTTATTTTAATCCCAGGAGGTGCAATTGGCAGTCTTCTGGGAGGTTTAATTGTTTCCAAGTTGAGAATGTCTTGTAAAGCCCAAATGAAATTTGTAATGGTGACATCTATTATATCGCTTCTGCTTTTCTTATTAATAATTTTTGTAGAATGTGATACAGTGAAATTTGCTGGAATCAGTGAAAATTACGATGGGTAAATATGTTTGTATATTCAATTTTCTAAATCATAACTGAAGGTATATTTTCCAGACTAGTAATCAATAACTTTATATATTTACATAATACTTAAAATTTTTAAACATGAAAATGAAGTATAAAGCATAAGTTTTACTTTTCATATCAATAGTTCATATTTCATAGAGATGCACTTATTTAATTCATAAGTGATTTAAAATCAAAACTAGAACTTTCTGTTATGGTATGCAGCAAGTATACCAAGGTACTAGAATATATACAATGTGATTTGGCCTGGACATTTTAAATAAAATATGAAAGAAATCAACAGTCTTGGCATGGGTTAACATTAAATTTTGTATTTGTAAATGAGGAACAAAAGATAATCAAGTGAAATAATAAGAGAGAACCGTACTTACATCAAACCAACATCAAATACATGCTACTATAGCTGTCCACAGAGTTAGAAAACATGGCTTCAGCTTCACATCTCTTACAAGTGCATCCAAAGGACTTAGAAGCAGGTCTTGAATTTGAAGACATAGCAAGAAAAGATATATCTGTAACTGAAAAATAAATGATAATATATAAAATATAAAAATTAAAAGCCTCTTCTATGCAAAATCTTTTGTTGATTTGATGGAATCATTATACTACAGAATGGAGAAATATTTAAATAAGGAAAAATTCAGAGTATCTGCAGCTGGAGAATTAATGACATACCAACTGAAAAATCCCTGAGCACAAAAAATGCTGAGACATAACTTTTCCCTTACTCTAGCAAGAAACAAATGGAAAAATATATCATTTCAACAAATTTGTTTGAGAATTAACAAATAAGAGGCCCAATAAAATGTTTAGATATTTAAGTTGTACAAAAACATTTATGAATAAAATAAAATGTTACAAATTTAAATTAATGCATAAACAAAGAATTGCACAGTAATTTATTTAGATATTGAGCGTTATAAACAGATCACTTCTCTACAAATTCATTTGAAAATTATTTAAAATTCATAGAAAATATTTTTAAAATACATTTTAGTTAAAACAGAATTGTTATTCCCCCTAATATAGAATTATACAATTCTCAAAGAGCCTATATACATAAGCAGAGCAAAAAACAAAAATCATGAGTAGAGAATACACTCTCTAGGACATGTGCTCATCTATGTCTATAGCAGCATTGTTTGTGATAGCCACAACCTGGAGACAACTTAAATTCCCCTCGACTGAAGAACGAATAAGGGAAATGTGTACATTTACACAATGGAGTACTACACAGCAGAAAAAAATAATGGCATCTTGAAATTTGCAGGCAAATGGATGAATCTAGAAACATCATATTGAGTGAGATAACCAAGACCCAGAAAGACAAATATCATGTTTTCACTTCTAAGTGCTTTTTACACATAAAGCAATGAAAACCATCCTTCGATTCGTAATCCCAGAGAACCAAGACAACAAAGACAACCCTAAGAGAGACATACACGGATCTAATCTACATGGGAAGTAGAAAAAGACAAGGTTTCCTGAGTAAATTGGGAGCACGGGGACCATGGGAGACGGTTGAATGGGAGGGAAGAGGAAGAGAGAGGAGCAGGAAAAAAGAGGTATAGCTCAATAAAATTAATTTTAAAAAGAAAAAAAAAAAACAATGTCCCACCTTCCCTCCTGATCTCTGCCCACCTATCTGAACCCTGCTGGTGTCAGCATGAGAAGATCCAACCTCCTGAATTGTCAAGTGACCTCCATTATGATCAGAACCATGGCTCTGACTCCACAATGAGGAGCAACCATCTAAGCTGTGGATCTACTCACACTAGTGACCACCAGAGACACAGCACCAACTGTCCCAATCAGAGGAAAACATGGGTAGACAACAAGGAAAGAACACAACAACACAAAGAGCAGTTCAGCACCACCAAAAACTAGTGGCAATATGGTAACACAAGGAGATAGGGGAAACAAAGCAGAAAAGAAGTCCAACTCTCATTATTTGTTGACAATATGATAGTATATATAAGTGAACCCCTTCATTAATGTAGCAGGATAGAAGATTAACTCAAAAAAATCAATAGCACTCCTTTTTACAGATGATAAACAGACTAAGAAAAAAATCATAGAAACATTACCCTTTAAAATAGCCAAAAATAACATAAAATATCTTGGGGGTAAATCTAACCAAATATGTGAAAGACCTGTATGACTAGAACTTTGAATCTTTGAAGAAAGAAATTGAAGATGACACCAAAAAATGAAATTTTTTCCATGCTCTTGGGTAGGTAGAATTAACATAGTAAAAGTGGCAATTTTGCCAAAAACTATCTACAGATTCAATGTACTGCATCAAAACACCAGCAAAGTTCTTCAAAGACCTCAAAAGAACAATATTCAACTTCATATATAGAAACAAAAAATCCAGTATAGCCAAAACAAACCTGTACAACTAAAGAACTTTTGGAGACTTCACAATTCCTGGCTTCAAACTCTACTTTAGAGCTACAGTAATGAAAACAGCCTGGTAATGGCATAAAACAGACAGGAGAACCAATGGAACCAAATAGAAGACCTGGATATCAATCCACACCCATACAGACATCTGATTTTTGACAAAGAAGCTAACAATGTAAAATAGAACCAAGAAAGCATATTCAACAAATGGCGCTGGCATATCAACATGTAGGAGAATGATAATAGATGCATATCTATTGTCAAACATAAAACTCAAATGAATCAAAAACCTCAACATAAAGCCAACCGCAATGAACTTCATAGAAGAGAAAGTGGGAAGTACACTTGAACACATTGACACAGGAGACCACTGCCCAAACATAACCCCAAAAGTACAGATACTGAGAGCAATAATTAATAAGTGGTACCTACTGAAACTGAGATGTTTCTGTAAAGCAAAGGACATGGTCAATAAGAAAAGATGACAACCTACAGACTGGTAAAAGATCTTCAACAACTGTGCATTGGACAGGGCACTGATCTCCAAAATATACAAAGAAGTCAAAAAATTTAACATCAAAAGAACAAATAATCCAATAAAAATGGGGTAAAGGCCTAAACAAAGAACTCTCAAGAGACAGATCTCAAATATCTGAAAGTCACTTAAGGAAATGTTCAAAATCCTTAGCCATCAGAGAAATGCAAATCAAAACAGCTCTGATGTTACATCTTACACCTATCAGAATGGCAAGACCAAAAACACTAATGACAGCTTATACTGGAGAGCATGTGGGGTAAAGAAAGGCTCTTCCATTGCTGATGGGAGTGCAAGCTTTTACAGTCACTTTGGAAATCAGTATGAGATTTTTCAGAAAATTAAGAAACAATTTACTTAAAGACCCAATAATATTGCTTTTGGCCATATACCCATAGGATGCTCAATCATAGCACAAGAACATGTGTTCAACTATGCTCATAAAAGCATTGTTTGTAAATGCCAAATCCTGGAAACAACTTAGGTGTCCTTCCGCCAAAAAATGGAGAAAGAAAATGTGGTACATTTATACAATGGAGTACTATACAGTAGTAAAAATAATGGCATCTTGAAATTTGCAGGCAAATTTAATCAATCCATTAAAAAAAATAGTGAGTGAGGGAACACAGACCCTGAAAGACAAATATAGTATGTACTCACTCATAAGTATCTTCTAGACATAAAGCAAAAAAAAAAATGAAAAAAAATTTAGAGTCTACAACCCCAGAAAACCTAGACAACAAACTGGACCCTAAGAGAAACATGCATGGATCTACATAGGAAGAAGAAAAAGACAAGATCTTCTGAGTAAATTGAGAGCAGGGAAGTGCCATGAGAGGGTAGAAAGCAAAGGGAAGAAGGGAGGAAGAAGCAGAAAAAAATGGATAGTTAAATAAAAACATTTAAAAAATCACTACAAGCTCTTTGCCAGACTTTAATTCCTGCCCATAATTTGTCAATTTCTTCATTATTAAAAGATACTATAATTTCAAAATAAAAAAATAAAACCAAGATGGAGGACTCAGATAAAAAATTATTGTGAAATCAAAACAAGTATGGTGGTATTGTCTTAACTAAAAATCTTTATAGGATTCAGAATAAATAGCTCAGTGATATATTATGAATACATAGAAATTTAATATATGTAAAGTAGATATTTCAACCCTAAAGATGATGCATGTTTTAAAAATATATTCCTAGGAAATTTATTACCAAACTGGAAATAGAATTTAAGGCACGATTTCCAATTTGATGTATTTCTCCAGTATGTAATAACCTACATATTTACTACAAGTTTTATTGTAGTGCTAGGAAAAAATAGAAGTTATATTTTTGTCTTCCAGTAAAATACAATTTACTACAGAGGATAAAATGCTTTAAATTTATAATTATGTTTATTTTTGAGTGAGTGATATGTTATATAAGTGAAAACAAGATCAATTTATATATTTTGAAGCAAAAATTTATAAAAAAATTTTTCTACTAGCTGAGAGAGCATAGGAAAAATGAAAAGAGGTAAGAGCTTTCTGTTCACAATATAAGAAACTGGACTAGTGGATTATGAGCATTAAGTATAGTCTCTTTTGTGAATACTTATGTTTGTCTTAAAACACTATTGTTTCTCAGCCTTAATATCAATTTCATAGAAGACAAGTCAAAACAAGTTTTGCTGTCTTCCATCATCAAAATTTCTAGTATGTCAAGTCTGAGAATTTGTAATCTCACAGGCAAAGTGATGCTGCTCATCAAGGAAAGCATTGTTATCTGTCAATCACAACACACCTGCATGTTACCAAACTACATAAACTAAATGCCCCTAGGTACAAGGAATGATAGAATATAATACCATAATTGTAAAACTTTAAATGTCCTATGCTTCTAGAGCACAAATAACCCAGACAGAAAAACCAAAGAAATAATAAGTATATACCATACTGCATGATAAGTGTACCTTTTAGACTTAACTGAACATATCTAACACCTATTTTTCTTATTAGAAAGGAGAACATTCTTTATGATAGGTTAGATTT